ATAACAGAGTAATTTGTCTTTAGTTTATTTTGTTCAAAATTTTATGTTTTGAATTTAAAATTGATTTTTGAAGACTTTAAGCCACCTGATGAGACTATCTAAGCAATAGTCGAAACGCGTCGTGGTAGCTTCCTACACACCCATATCCTTCATAGGATTTGGTATCAATTACCATTATATCTTCCAATGATATAACAGAGTAATTTGTCTTTAGTTGATTTTGTTCAAAATTTTATGTTTTGAATTTAAAATTGATTTTTGAAGACTTTAAGCCACCTGATGAGACTATCTAAGCAATAGTCGAAACGCGTCGTGGTAGCTTCCTACACACCGGCAATGTACACAAAATTAATCTTAGGCAATCGCATCCGTCGTCAAGCACACAATGAGCTCATACGCAAGCGACCAAACCAAGCATTGTTACAAAATAAAAAAATACCCAAAAGTGAGTCAAACAACTGTACCAAAAACAATTTATCTCATAGCTTTACATAAAAAATTAAAACACTTCTTTTGCTACCATTATTTAGGAAAATTCGAAAAGCCAAAAACAACTCGACAACAAACTACAAATATCATCAAGCCTCCATATATCGGATACCAATGACCAGGAAATTTTTCTCTTCAGGATGATTAATCTAAAAAACAATAAAAACATAATAATAAAAAAACCGAAAACAATTCCTATAAATAATTAATTAATGTATCCTTTCAAAATGAATAAAATCATATCATACTTATTCAGAAATTAATCCAATAGAATTTCCAAAAACTTTCTAACTTTCTTTTTTGTTTCAGATATATCGCAACAAATCATTTCAAAACAAAACCAACATTCAAACATGCGAAAACAACTCAAAACATCATCGTAGCTGTTCACACTACAGTTATTTGATTTTATCAACTTATATATATGAGTTTTGAATTTAATTCTCTATATATAAGTCAGATATAATTTTATCTTGTGATTTTTTAAATTTATTTATTTAAATTTAATTTTATCATTTAGATTATTTGTCAACTGATGATTCCCTTCAGCAAGGATGAAACTAGTCTTGACTGCTGTTCACCCTTATGTATTCTTTGACCGCATGAAAACGTCTACTACTATTCATCAAAGTATATCATAAGTGGTCCTCTCTATCCACCCTGCATTTGCTAACCCGTTTGTGATGGTTCCAACGCCTATCTGTTATCGGTAATTAACCAGTTATACCGTAATTAGCTAATTCATCAATTAAAATTTATGTGAAAGTAATCTAACTGTGCACCTTTAACACCTCAATACTACTTTCCGTTCGACTTCAAAACAGCACCCCTGTAACGCTTTGGGATGGATAAATCACCTGTCTGTGATGGGTAAGTTACCTGTCTGTGACGGTTGTTGATGAGTAAATCATCTTACTGTTGTGATCTGTGATTGGTGAAATTTACCCATCACAGACAGGTAATTTACCCATCACAGACCGGTGATTTATCCATCACAGACAGGGTGTGGGTGTGTCGGTATGCATGTTTATGAGCGAATAAACCCAGCCGGATCAGCACCCACAGCCACACCCTCCGTTTGAACAGATTTAACTAAAATTATTAGTTTGAATTAAGATGAACTTGTAACATAGAAGAAACATATGATTAAAATAAATTTTATTCTCGCTTATTAGAAGGTTGTTCATCGGAAATTTGGAGGAAAAAATTAAAGAAAATGATATAATGTTAATTAATTTCGCTTTCACTATTGAATGTCTTTAATAAATTATTATGCTTTAAGTCAATTTGTCATAAATATATTTTGCTATTTTTCTTCCCATTGTTCTACCTTCTTCTTGATCAATACGCCAATGAACACCCAAGTAAATTCGACTGAGAAAATTTTCTTCTTCAGCTTGTGAAAATCTTTCATAGGATCGTGTACGGTTTGGTCGAACACGGCCGGTTATTGAATCTTTGGTGGCTCCATTGTATTCATCGGATTGAAACTGAAATTGAAACTGATCGGTACCATAGAATAATCGAAGCATCTCAAACGCTGCTGAACCAAATGTTGAATGTCCAGAAACGTAACTTGGAAATGGTGGTGTAAAATTATCGCCACCACCATCTGCTGGTGCTCCAAGTGGTAACCAATTGGGTATGGCACGAGTTGTTGGTGAGCCTTGGCGAACACCCAGAATTGGTCTCCATAATTCATAATAATATTTAGTTTCCCATGCCGAAATGCCTGCATCAGCCATTGCATAATTGACGAAAGCAAATAGCTGTGCATTCTGTTGCAATGTATTATTTTTTTTAATGGCAATGACGCGAACAACTTGATTGTATAGTCTTGGAGGAACACCTAGTTTGGGTGCACCATCATAACCCCAGAAAATACCGACTTCGGTTTGATCGGCGGTTCGAGTTTGACTGTTACGAGTTCCAAGAGATACAACTTCATTATAGTCACTAATATATTTTTCCGATCTCAGAAATTGACGACGACCTGCCAAAGTATTGCCAACAGTATTGGAAGCACGAAATTGTGATCCAGATTGAATGACGAAAGGGGTGACTGTACCCCAGCGTGGACTAAGAAATGGTTGATCTGGATGTGTAGGATCTGGTTGATGGTAACCTGTTTGATTGATTAGTTTGTATGTTCCCTGATTTTGACTGTTATCAGAACTTCGACTTTCTAAAATTGTTAACGCTAATAACTTTCCAACAAGAATACCTTTATTTATGCCAGCATTATCTGATGAATCACCTCTGACCAATTTAATAAAATTATTCCGAGTTTGAGTAAAAAGTTCTCTCTGTTTTGGATATAATGCATACAATGTTTGGTAAGCGGCTTCAGTAATGGCGGCTTCAACAGCTGGAGCACGTGGAACATCATATGTTGCTGGCATACTGCTAGGACGATACATTGATATATAGATTCTCTCAAAACCATTCATTGCTTCGTACATAGCACCGTGTATAATAGCAAATGCTCGTGAAGTTGTTGTTGGACCAGCTTGATCAGGTGAATCGGCTATCGAGTTATCATAATCATTAGCAGCAGCGTTCAGCAAAACGGCATTCCAAAAAAGAATTGCATCTGTCGGTTTGGATTCGTAAGCATCAATTAGATTCTTGGCTTGAGTTCTTAGCAGATTCGTGTCAATTGAAATACATTGAATACGTGCTATTAAAATTAATAAAATTATCAACAATGGTTGTTGGAACTGGAATTTGGTTTCCATCACTTGTTAAGGATGCATGAGAGAATGTTTTCTACCACAGCCTTTTTATATCCACATCATTATGAGGAAGTATCGAATGTTAGGTAACTTGGAAACGAACAGCTTACGATGAAAGTCATGCACGGCAAGGGTGAACGCTGCTTATTTTTGGAATTTTGCAATCATAGTTGGAAGTATTATTTGAATCATCTCACAATCACTTCCTTTCATTTGTCATAAGTGGATATATACATACTTCAGAACTAACTTTTTTCTATTCGTTTGTTTTGGCTTCGATACTTCAGGCGCTTTTCGATATTTCTGAAGGTTCTTTATGAGTTAGTCATTTGCAAAATTTCAAAATTAAACACAAATATTGTTTTATTTAGGTGGATGCGATGCAAAATTGCATTGCTGCTTCTAGGCAAATATACTTCCTAGTTTGTTTCTTTTTCTCAACGATGAAACGCGAAACGGGCACGTTTTTTATGTGCGTGGACAATTTTACTTCGTTTTCTTTCTCATTTCACCAACTAAATGGGCGCATTGAAAATAAAATAAAAAGTGGCGTCATAATCTAAAAAACTTGATATCACAAGAAACCAGTTTAAAATTAAAAATAAGAGTCAACCGTGAACTCGCAAAATTGCTTTCAGATTGGAAATCAGACCTTCAGTATCAAGATGACAGTTACATGAATTTCGATTACTTTTCACGAGGCCGCATTGAGCTTCATGATGCTGTAATTTTCTGCAGCCGGAAAAATAAACACAGATAAAAAAAATTCATCACTGCTTGGGCGAAGCTTGATGTTTACTTTCGAGAAGACAGGATTTATCAAGAGCAGAATTTATGATCTAATATTCATGGAACATATGTATAAGTATCGCTTATTGACACCATCTATACTTGCAAAGAGTTCATGTCATTTTTTTGTAGAACCTGATATTTTTAAAAATATTTACATAAACATTTCAAATGCCATTTATTTAATATTGTTATGATAGGAATATTTTAGTAGAGGCCATCCAAACGCTTGAAAAAGGACTTATTGATCAGTATCAGTAATAGCAAACATATCAATTTTTCGATTTTTCTTATAGAACGTTCTTCTGAAGCAGTATACAGATATGTTGATGAATCTTTTACTTTTAAGTTTAGAATTGTTGTTTTCATCTTCTCCTGGTAATGATTAAAATTTATATTTTAGACAACTTAAAAACATATTGAATACTTATCGACAGCAAAACATCGACCCAAATCTAATAATTTCATACTTCCTTTCTCGTTTTTAAATTTCGGACTTTATTTTAATTTTATTTTTGGAATGCGTACAAAAAAGCTGTTAGCGCTATCCCTTTGGAATTAAAATGTGAAACACGGTGTAAATGTTAATTCTAATCAGAAATACAAATTATTCTATGTGTTTCTGAACTTTTTTTTTCATTATACCTTAATGCATCACCTACAAGGGAAAAATGGAAGTAGGTGATAAATTTGCTGATATTGTAGCATTATGTGTTCCTTGACCGCATGAAAACGTCCACTACTCTTCATCAAAGTATATTATAAGTGCTCCTCTCTATCTACCCTGAATTAGTTAACTCGTCTGTGATGGTTCCAACGCCTATCTGTTATCGGTAATTAACCAGTTATACCGTAATTAGCTAATTCATCAATTAAAATTTATGTGAAAGTAATCTAACTGTGCACCCTTAACACCTCAATACTACTTTCTGTTTGACTTCAAAAAAGCACCTCTGTAACGCTTTGTGATGGATAAATTATCTGTCTGTAACGATCTGTGATGAGTAAATCACCTCAGTATAATGATCTGCGATGAGCAAAATTTACCCATCACAGATCTTTACCGACATGTAGGTTACCTGTCGGTAACGGGTTGGGGGGGGGGGGTAAAATTTCTACCCTAAACACTTCAAAACTCCTTTCAGGTCGTGTTTCACAAAATACAACATTGATTAATTGAAAAGAACATATGAAATGTAACAATACATTTGAAAAACAAACAGAGGACGAAGACATTTCGTATCAGTGTTCCAGACACCCGGTAATCCGTTCAGGTGTTCGGAAGCTCATTTCGATAGGAGCTGATCTGATCGAACAGCTCTTGTTCCTAAACTGAACTGATTCGCATCAGGTCAAAAATGTTACCCAAAATTTGCTTGTGTCTTACTTAAACTAAATGAATGATGTTTTTCTTATATCAATATAGTTGTACACGTGTTGCTTCTTTCGAATTTTCATTTTTGTGAGAATGAATTGTATTACTGCCGTGAAGATCATATCTTCAGTATGAAAGTTTATTTATTGAAGAAGAGTGTGTGAGCTTTCGATATCCTACTGGAATCATCATCAGACACAATGTGACGCGTTTTATTTTACAATTTTATATGATTTATTTTACTAATATGACATCTGTTCGAAAGAACGGATGTCATATGACTGGTCACATAAGTGCCCCTATGGTGGGGCTATCCAAATACTTGTAATTTATGTTTGACTTCAGTAACTGCTTTGTCCTTGCTTTCAAATGTAAGTAAGCTTTCTTTGATTATACGTCTTTTCCAATTTGTTTCTTTGGCTAATGCTGTTGTTTTGTTGAAGTTCATGGTATGATTCGTATTAAGTATATGTTTTACTATTTCGGAGTTGGTGTCTTTCTTCTTTATTGCTTTTAGATGTTCAGTGATTCTTGTTTCTCGTGATCTTCCTGTTTCTCCGATATATATTTTTTCACAATTTTGACATGGTATATGATAAATTAGTTCTTTATTACTTTTCGATTCGTCGCGACCTTTTTGAGTTGGTAAGAAGTTTTGTTTTAGTGTTCCTTGTTTTTTGTATGCTATGTTTAGATGTATGTGTGATAACATTTTATCACATATTCTTCTTACACGACTGGCGAAGACGATTGATTCTTGACCAAAGTAAGGAATGGCGAAGAATATTTTCTGTTTTTCTACAGTTGGCTCTTTTGGTTGTGGTTGTTGTAATCGTTTTGCAATGGCTTCACCTGCTTTAATTCCACGTCGAATGATGTGAGCCGGATATCCATTGTTTTTTAGTATTTCATCTAATTTTCTTTTTTCTGCTTTAGCTATTGTTTCGTTTGAACATATACGTTGAATTCTAATTGTCAATTTTTTGATTAATCCTATTTTGTATTTTTTTACATTGGTTTGAATCCCAGAGTAAGTATAAATTTGTGTGTGTTTTTTTACGATAAACACTTGTGATTAAGGAATTGTTTTCTTTTTTGATTAGTACGCCGAGGAAGGGTAGTGTCGCATCTTCTTCAAATTCAGAAGTGAATTTGAGATTATTATGCCACATGTTTATTCGTTGTAAGAATATTTTAATGTGTTTTTCTTCTATATCAAATATGCAGAATACGTCATCGACATATCGGAGCCATATTTTTGGTCTGTTTTTTTGTGAATCGATTGAGCTTTTCTTCCATTTTTATCATGAATAAGTCGGCAAGTATTGGTGCAATTGCATTGCCCATCGCAACGCCATCTTTTTGTATGTATGTTTTGTCCATGAATCGAAACGATACGTCGCATACAGCGTGATGTAATAGTTGTTGTGTCTGTTTCCGAGTAAGAAGTTTATCAGGTTTATTTGGTCGTTTGTAGATTATATCTAATGCGAGTTCTATTGCTTCTTTCACAGGAACGTTTGTGTAGAGTGATTCGACGTCAAAGCTGACCATTATGGTGGTTGTTTTAATGGTGATCGTTTTCTGTTTTTTAACTAGTTCGAAAGAGCCTTTTATATATGATGGTGGAGTTTCTGTACGATGATTTGAGATGAGTTTAGCTAAATATTTTGAGAGTGAGTAGTTGTAAGATACGATAGTTGAGATGATAGGTCTTAATGGGTAGCCTGTTTTATGGACTTTTGGTTGTCCATATAAGACTGAAAGAGATGATGAAGTTGAATGTAAATGCCAAAATACGGACTTATCTATTATTTGATTGTTGTGGAGTTCTCTCAGTATTTTGTTCATTTCTTTTTCTTTCTTTTCTAGTGATGTTGATTTGGGTAACGGTGCTAACTGGTTTCCTGCTAATATCGTTTCAATTCAGTTGATGTAGCCTATTTTGTTCATGATGACAATGGCGTTCCATTTATCTGCTCGTGTTATAATTATGTGTTTGTTTTCTCTAAGTGATTTTAATGCTTGTAATTCGTTATCGGAGATGTTTGATATTTTCTTTTTCTTTGTTGTTTGCATCAGTTTTTGAGATGCTGCGAAGACGTGTTTGCATATTGTATGATAGAGGGTGTGGGTGTGGGTGTGGGTGGGTGTGAGTGTGGATAGGGGCAAAAGTAACTAAAAATCACACCCACACCCACACCCACACCCACACCCTGAATATAATCTAAGATTAGCTTCATTGCAATCTAAATTTAATCATTTAACCTTACTTTCATTTATATACTACAATAATCTTCCATGAATTGACCGATTTTACTCAATGAATTATTCCGTTAATTCTTTAAGAGTAAAAGTATATGTTCTCATTTAATCTAGAAAATATATCGAACATTAGTTATCATCATCAATAAACATTGCATCGATTAATATA